AGGATGATGTCTTATTCTTTTTTGACTCTCCATTCCAAACTATAATATGTAAACCTAAAAATAACTCAGTGAAAATTATTGATATGCATAAAATTTGATTATATTAATAAATTGTAACATACTCTCAGAGTAGTCTTTTTTCTAATATTTGTCACGGCCCTTCAACAGCATGGGATGACCTGTGGGGCTATAGGCAGGTCATTTCACATTTTTGGGATCTAATTTCTTATCCATAAAATGAGAGGATTGAGCTAGATTATCTGTAAGATCCCTTCATGTACTAGTCTGTCATTTTTTAAATGCTGTGAAAGTTCAGGACATAGACGTTTGTCATGAACCTCATTCGTCGTCTTCATAGCTGGACTTGGCTCTGAGATGTAAGCTTAGCTTAGAGCTAGGCACCCACCTATGAAGGCATGCGGGCTGACTGCCACAGGTACCCAGGCTGGGTGCCAACAGCCTACTCTTCCATCTCACCCCTCAACCTCCCACCCCCATCCCCCAAAATACACATACGTTCCACACTGTTGCAGGTCTTCGAAGACGCTGCTTAGGGCCACACTCTGTTCTCAGAGTCAGGATGTTGGACTGACTCTCTTTTGACAGGTCAGAAGTCTAGAGGTAGAAAGCTTAATATCTAACCTCCACATAGTTAAGTCGGGTCTTGATTATAAAATTGTTTCCAAAATTTGTAATAGCTTTACAAGAGTAACAATTTTTTAAAAATATGGTGATATCTATCTCTTGGGAAGTATGTACACCACGGCTTAATAAAGATGTAGGTCACATAACCTTTACCTAAGGATACCAGCCTGAAACCTGTAGCTGAATAACTACCTTGCATGAAATGTGGGGATTATTGTTTAGTATGCCTCTGTTTTCCTCATAATTTGCATAATTATAATCTGTTGATTCTAAAACTGTCTTCTATGAGCTGGAAATATAATATATACATTTTATCAAAAAATCTGAATTTGATACAAAGCACCTTAATAACATTTCCAGTGCATCAAATGAATCAGTATTTATCTGAAAACGTTGACAGTTTTCAAATTAAAAAGTGTTATATGAATAGATATAAGTCACCCAGTAATTCTGTGAGAGGACCATAAGTAGTATTCTCATTCCCAAGCAAGGCCAACAACAATAACAAAGTTCGGTAAAACTTCTTTGTAAAAGATTATAAAGCATATTATTTTTAAGCAACATTACTTTTTATGAGAAAAACTACGGGCAGGAGTCCCGGCTTTGGAATCAGATAACCCTGAGCTTTAAATCCTGGCCCAACATCTTACTAGCTAGGTGTCTGTAAGCAAAATACTTACCCTCTCTACATATTAATTTTCTTCCTTGTAAAATAAGGTAATAATACTACCTTGCAATATTATTGAGGATTAGATGGAATAATATACACAAAACGCCTACCACCTAGTAGTTATTGAAGAAATGGTGGCCATCATTAATAATATCATATTTATGTTATAGAAAGAAAGTATAATTTTCTTTTCATTCATTTGGAGTGCATTTATTTATTTTTTTACCAAGCACCTTACTTATGTTGATTATATGTAAGGGTTGGAAATGTCATGCACAGGAATGAGTTAAAATGATTTTTCCTTTCAATTAAAAAGAAATCAATAACGTCATGGGAATGTTTAATTTCTTCCACAGAGAACACGAGACAATCAATAGCATTTCTTGATATGGATGCTGCACAAAGCCAGTCCTAACACAGCGAGTCAGAGAAAGGTAACAGGGCTCAGGCCAGCAGAACCTCCCAGTTGATTGGAAATAGTCCTAGAAATAACTAGGATTAGACACCAGCCACATCCTTGCACTATGGATTTGAGTAAGGCTTGCATGAGGGAGTAAGTGAACCCCCAGGGGAATCCTCATCTCTTATACCAAGTCTCAGTCATTTTATTTTTAGGTGTAAGTCCTAACAGAGAGATGGTAATAGTGGTCGAAATGAACAGCTATTGCTATTTTTAATTGAACCAACAGGATCATTACTAATTAATACTTAATTAATTATTTTTGTTCTTGGCTCTGTTTTAGCCAAATTATCCCCATTTGACTCAATTTGATAGAATTTTACTGTTTAATAGAGCTGACACAGACATGGATTGATAACAACAAAGTGAATAATAGACAAACTAGAGAAATACAAACAACAAAGTGAATACTAGCAAATGTTAAATAAACACAGAATAGCAAAAAGCCAATCAATAATGAATAGTGATGTGGGACAATGAAAAGAAAATTGAATCCAAAGACAAAGATTTGCAAGTTCTCATCCCAGCTATCCCTCTAGTGATCTATGTGACCCTGAGTGAGTCACCTTCTCTGTGCCTCAGGACCTTTGAGCCTGCTCTGCACTCTAATATGGGGAGGTGCTCATGTAACATACTCCATGACATTCGCTGGTGGCTCCTTTGCCTTCTATTAACTATATTCTGCTTCTTCAAATCTTTTTAGTATCAACTCCTAGCCCCAGATTCATATGTAAGTGGAGAAGCCTTCCCTCTTTCCCTGTTTCCTCAACAAAAGCCAGAATATTCTAACTTTTGGGTAATCCCTTGATTTTAAGGCTTTGATTGCTGTTAAATTACAAAGATCCCTGGGAATAGGTATATTTTTAAATAATGAGACATTTACATTTTAGTAAAATTGCAAAGGGGAAAAAGCAGCAAGCTTTCTCTTATAGTCCTCCTGGTGCCCTGTGGTAGAGACTACCAGCTGTCTCCCCGTACTTGTTCTTCTCTTCTTGTGTAACAGAATTCCTGATTTTCAGTTGGGCACATGTTCACCCAGTATAGGGACTACATTTCCCAGCTTCCCTTGCAACCAGGTATGATCATAAGATTAAATTCTAGGCACCCTACTATAGGAGCACTAGTGTACTTTAAGGGATGAGAGAATGCCCTTCTTCACCCTTTCTTTCTTCTTGCCAGCTAGAATGTGGATGTTAAGAGCTGGAGCTCCAGCAACCATGTCATGACCTTGGGAATGAAACTCATAGATGGTGGCCTGATTTCAAGCAAAGCTGATGTGCTCTTGCTCTGACTTTAGGGAGATAATTAGCTCTAGTCCACTTTTATTTAGCTGATGCCTGGCTACCTTTTTTTACTTCTTCTACCCACTTAAATACTCAGTTAAGGCAGGAGAAACAGAACAGAACTAAGTTCCCCCAAACCTTTCAGAACTCTAGTTTTTTCACAACTCAATTTTCATATATAAAAATGAAATATTTCACAAATAAAAGACATACTAGAAAACTGAGGAGGTACATCATTTCAGTAAAATGTTAAAAAGGAAGGAACTTCTCAAACGATAGTAAATCTGTAACAGTTCAACATTTGTAATATTTAAATATGTTCTGTGACGTCAGACTCTGAATTATGAGAATTTCAGAAAGCGATGATAGTACAAAAATTACAGGAAATTCTTCTGAAGAAAGGCAAGCTCTAAGTAACTGTGCAGACTTTTATTATTAAATGCCAAGTAATTACATACATTTAAGTGTCAGTATTATATTGTTGGTACTTCTCTTGGAAAAGAATTATAAAGAGGTGTGCATTTACAAATACCCTAATTTAAAAAATTGCAGAAGTCTGACTTCTAATAAGCTGCTACCATGAAGCATATTGATATTGGATTCCCTTTTACTTTTTAATTTTATTTGTTATTAGCTAATTTAAATGAAATTGCTCTAACCATCACATAACCTCAACTCTGAGAGGAGCTTTTTTTTTTTTTTTTTATGAGGAAGATCCACCCTGAGCTAGCATCTGCCAATCCTCCTCTTTTTTTGCTGAGGAAGACTGGGCCTGAGCTAACATCCATGCCCATCTTCCTCTACTTTATATGGGACGCCGCCACAGCATGGCTTGCCAAGGGGTCCGCCAGTGCGAGCCCGGGATCCGAACCAGCGAACTCCCGGCTACCACAGCAGAGCGCACCCACTTAACTGCTTGCACTACCGGGCAGGCCCCCGAGAGGAGCATTTTTAAGCGTATTTTCTGAATAACTATAAAAACTATTTAACTGGGTGATATCACATTACATTATCACTAATTGCAAGATTAGAAGACAGATCTTAGGTTTCTTTAAAAAAAAAAAAAAAAAACCACAGTAAACAACCTAAAATTAACAGGATATTTTAAATAAGGTAAGTTCCCAATACATTGTTGTTGCATTATTGAGTCAGTCTGTGAAATTTTTGAGATTTGTATCTTTGAAAATTTTTTAATATAAATTCTTTTAAGACAGTGTTTCTCGAATTATATAGCAAAGGACCACTTACATCAGAATTGCTGGAGTGTTCATTTTAAAATGCTAATTCCCAGATGCCTCATCACATCTAGTGAATCAGAATCCCTACGCATGCCTTGAGAATATGAATTTTAAACATCCTCCCCTTAGAGATTTTCAAGCACAGTTAAGTTTCAGAACTTCCGTTCTACTGCTTTGTCTAATGCAATGACGTTTCAAGCTGATTCAAGTTATTACCTCCATGCCACTGTGCCAGTATCACGTTCATTCTTTTTCCATTCTGCCTCCAATAATAATCATTTTGACCTCATGCGAAAGGCAAGGATCATTACTGGACTGATTAACATTTTCTCTTAAGGGGAGAAGGGTGTCTCTAGATAAGTACAGAGAACATGGATAGTTACACATATTAGTCAATTGAGGGAAAAAGATACGTGTAATAAAAGTACAGTTCGGAGATCTCAAAACCATTTTTGAACTAGTCTGGGAGTACGATTGTAATGTAAGGAATGACTCCGTGTTAAAGAAAGGACAGGATAAATTAATAAAGGTCTCCTATCTCATTCTGTGACGGTGCTTCTGGGCTCTGGTGATGAATGTGTTCATTTTATGTGACTTGCTTTGGGTAAATAACCCAGTGCCATATCAGCTCTCCAGCTCGAGGCCAGCAGCGGCTGTGTGTGCGCGCTAATGACGGTGGAAGGTGCCTGGGGGAGGGCCTGGGGAGGGGCTGCCCGGCGCAATCGCGCCCCTGGCACTTCCTAACAGACTCTCAGCCCTTTCTCTGCAGCTGCCACTTGAAGACTTCACACTTTCCCTCCAGAGGAAAGAAGCCATCCATCTAAATCAGCTGTACCTCCACGTCCCTCGTTTCTCCCTCCGCCAGCCGCCACCCCCACCCCTTCCATTGTGGTGTGCGTTTAGCTCCGCATTCCGCGTAAGACCCTAACCTCATTTGTTGCAGGAGGGATTACTGAGAATTTCGGAACCTCGAGTTTCAATGGAGCTGTACGGAAAGGTAAGCAGAAGGGAGTTCCACTGCATGCTCTGCGCGAAATCTCGCTTTGACGGACTTTGGGATGTGCGTGTGTGTGTGTATGTGTGTGTGCGTGTGCGCCTTCTCAATCCAGTTGTGTGAGTAAACCACTTTCTTTATGTGTGTGCTATTCATCGTCTTTCTTCCCCGCGATTGTTGAATGAGATTGTAAAACCACCCCCTCTGCCTATGGAAATGCATAAACTTTCCCGATTCGGGATGGGGAGGTGTAGGGCGGAGAGTCCCAGAACGCAGAGCAGGTTTCGTTTGTATTGGGAATTAGCACAAGGTAGAGAGTTTCCCAACCAGGAAAGCACAATCTAGCTTGGAAGGCGATAGGTAGCAAAGAAAAATCTCCAGCTGAGATGAGCTGGGATCACTTTCGCCTGCGCCTTGCGTGGAAATGGGCTGGGAGGCTGAGAGCGGTAACAAACGCGAGCGATTCCAAAGGAGGAAAAGGGAGGCTCCCCGGCCGAGTGGAACAGGAGGAGGCAGCCTGTTTAATTGTTGGCTTGCCGGGAGATGTAGTTCACGGCTCGCCAGTTTGTGGGAAAGCTCCGCTGAATGAGACTACAACTCCCAGGAGCTCGCGGGGCTCCCGGCCAGTACGCGTGTGCGGCGCCTGGAGGGGACAGCTCCGGTGCTGATGTTGGAGCCGGTTAGCGAACCCCAAGAGCGCAGAGTGTGGAGCGTGGAGCGCGCCGGCTGTGCCCGCTTGACCAGGCGCCTGGGCCAGCGCTGTCTTAGCCAGAGAGAAAGAACCTTTTGAGAACAATGAGACACGAAGCTCCCATGCAGGTGGGTCTATACAGAAAGTGTGGCCTCGGGAGGAATTGAGAGAGATGCTTTCTACCTCTCTCCAAGCACAAACTGCACCGAACCTAGGGGAAGGTCTAGGCGGCTACCCGCGGAGATGCGGCTCTGACTCGGTCTTGGGGCAGAGTTGGGTTCCTCTCCTCTCAGGAGGGCTGTGATTGGGGCTGTCTTGATGAAGGATAGGGGTATTCATTATCGTCCCAGGCTCCGCGAGGAGGATGAGAGTGTCTGTCTAAAATGTAAATCAGAGCAAACGAAAGTCAGAAGACCATTCAATCTGGTATTAGCATTGATCTTCCCTCCTGGCTCCCCTGGTTTGTGATCACGGTGCAAACGCACAGTTAAAGCCAGGTTTGAGGCTGCGAGCTCTCTGCTGGAGTCGGGATAGAGCAAATTCCGTTTGGTTAAGAGCGCCGTAAGAAAGGAGAAGCCAATGTTAGGGTCCCCAAAGTCCCCTTTCTTCAAGTAGGGTCCTAGTAGTATCAGCTGAAAATAGCAAACACGTTGGGGCTTGGCTTATCGTAGAAGTATGCCAGCCCTTAGTCGCTGTCCACACAACTGGTTTACTCCTGCGTTTCGGAGAACCTACTCTGAGCTATCCTGAGTGATGTGCCCATTTGTTATACGTTCCGATTCCTCATTTCAGTCACATTCTTAGGTTTGCTTACTTTGACTCTGGTGCAAAGGTGTCTCTGCCTAAGCATCTTAAGTTTTGTTTTTAAGATGAGTGATGCTCTCCCGTTTGTATGTGTAACCAGTTAAAGCCAAACATGAGCCTGTGTTCATTAACCATGCAGAGTGATCCCCTTGCGTAACAGAAAGGCACTTTATGAATGGGATTGCAAAGAGAACGGAACACACCATTTGGAATGTGTTGTCTCTCTTGAGAACCCACCTCTGCTGCCAAATCCAACAATATAAATATTTGCCTTTAATTCTTGCTTATATGTTTTTCAAGTGTTTTCTTCATGAATCAAGGACTTTAAACATATGCTTTGATTTACTTTTAATTTATTTTATGGGTTATGTATATTATTAAGATATACACTGACTGGACTGTTAAATGAAAAAAGATCTATAGAATTTAATTGTTTGTTGAAGGATTATATAATAGAAGCCCTCAAATAACCTTATGAGTTATTGAAAATTTGATTTGTTCCAGAGAACAGTGGCCCCATTGTGTATCTTCTAATACCTCTGTTTGTGACTTAGCTTTTCATTATAGACCTGATGTGAAAAGAATCTGGACAGACAATAAAGGTACAGGCTGTTGCAATCAAGATATATTGGCTTATGATAATTTTCCATTACTGGAGGTACTGCCAGGAGCCAACTGGCTAAATTAATCATATTCGATTAGAAGTAAACATTGACAGTAGACTTTAAAAGTAGATTGTTGGTATTTAAATCAACTCTGTATATGCACTGAAGTTTTTCTGTCAAAATAAATTACTGAAAAATTAACCACACTGCATCTTGATTTTTATTTTCTTTCAAGAGTTGCTTAGAATGTTCAGAAGGGTCATTAAAATGTTACAGAACTGTGTGAAATTAATGCCTTAAGAAATATTTTCAAATATTTCATATCAACTATGTAAGAATTTATTTTCATATTTATGGTGTATTTTATTCCTTGGACTAGATTTTTGAAATGTAAGTGCCCAAATGCTATCATGAATAACATGACATTTTAAGAAATCAAAGACTAGTTTTTGTAGTATATTTAATTAAAACACATTCATTGATTCAATGTAATGAGTAAATTGTTGTTATAGTGACCCTCTCTCCATTACTATCAGGTTTTCAAACATCTATAATGATAGAAAGAATAAAAACTATAAACGTGCTTTATATATTTTTTTCAGTGGCAAGTAATGTCTTGGCACCCATACTTCTGAATCATAATCACATTCCAGGTGACTTTGATATATGAAAATGCAAGAAGATAAATAGTTGACATTTCTTATTTTTTTCACTTAAAGACTGAATCATATCATCATTTTAAATATATGCCCCCAAATTTTTACTTAGGTTTCTGGAAGATGAGTCACAAGCAAAACCACATTCTATAGTGTCATTATCCAAAGGGATTCTTTTCCCCACTTAAAAGTATTTAGTTCATTTGTTGATGTAAAACAAAATGAGTTCTTTAATTTGTTGATTTTCTAATTTACTTATTATGTTTTCTCAAATCACACAAGCCTTTTTAAAAATTATATAATGTCTTTTAAAAGCATTTCATGTGCCTATATAAATAGCTTGGTGTTCAGGTCAAGGTAGTTGTCTTTGATATATGCATGTCTTCTGAAGACTATTTCTCTCTTGAGTTGATGCAAAATTAGGTATCAAAATAGGTTTTTCTACAGTGACTATTAAAATAATATACAATGATAATATTTGATGTCTGTATTTCCTTTGTAACTAAATACTGGGAATAGCATTTGGTAAGTGTTCTAAATGATGGGTTAGATTTTAATGCAGGAGATGGTCATTTTGTATTTTCTCATTCACTGCATCCATAAATTCTGAGGGCCACATGATATGGAGATAGCAGCGCTCATGACTTGAGGGCAAGATTCTGTTGAACAAATTATCATTTGATTCAAGAGCCAGATTGAACAAATTCCAGTTTATCTACTGCTTTGTCTGTGCCAAGTACTGTGCCTTGCACTCAGATCTCACTATGTGTGTGTGTAAAATATAAAAGAGTCCTAGAGGTCACCATAACCCCAATTATAGGCAAGATAACTGGAGCTTATTAAAATTAAATAACTTTCCCAACATGGTAGTTTCAAAATTCTGCCAGATCTCTGTCTAGAAAGACCATCTTCTTTCTCCTATTATTTTGGGTTCCCCAAGAAGACACAAAAGGGTGGTGTAAGGAATGAGAGCACTATTGATATAACTTGATTATTAATTTGGTTCAGAAGAAAGAAAAAATTGGCTCTATCTTCTGTTTATAAAAATAAACTTGTGTCAACTAAACCAAGGCCAGCCCTGGTGGTCTAGTGGTTAAGATCCTGTGCTCTCCCCACCACGCCCCAGGTTCGTTTCCTGGTCAGGAAACCATACCACCCATCTGTTGGTTGTCATACTGTGGCGGCAGCTTGTTGCTGTGATGCTGAAAGCTATGCCACCAGTATTTCAAATACTAGCAGGGTCACCCATGATGGATAGGTATCAGCAGAGCTTCCAGAGTAGGACAGACTAGGGAGAAGTGGCCACCCACTTCCAAAAAAATTGACCGTGGAAACCCTATGAATAGCAGTGGAGCATTGTCTGAGATAGTGGATGGCGCAAAAGACCAAAGACTGGGCAGAGTTCAGCTCTGCTGTACTGGGAGTCAGAACGGCACCACCAACAAAAACTAAACCAAAAATTTGAGGAAGTGGAATCCATTGTTACTGGCTTAGTCTTCAATTTTGTTATTCACAAGCTTTCGGGGTCATCTCATAAATGCAGAGTCTTCTGACTATATAGGAAACTGCAAAGAAAAACATCTACCCAAATCATGGAGCAGAGTGCCAAAAAAAAAGGTTGTTTGGCTAAAAATGAGGATCATTGAAGGAAGAATATAGATGTAGGCTGAAGATGAAGTTGAGGTGAAAAATAATGGATGTTAAATACAGCCATGCTGTATACAAAAACAACTTACAAAGAATTCAAGTCTAAATATGTCATTGTTTCAGTTAGCTATGGAAAGTACATGGCATTCTTGCATTTCATTATTGTTGAATTCCTGACCATATCCAGCCTCAATGATGATTCCTTTACCTTTATAAGAAATGGAAATTTGGTTCTCATCTCTTACAGAAACGGAGAAATCCTATAGTTGACATTGGAGAAACAGGACCTTCTTTCAGATTCCATTTGACCAAATTCATGAAGTATCCACTTTTCTTCTGTAAAGGAAAGTGGAGGATAGAGAGGAGGAATTAACCTATAGTGAAAATAAACTTCTGTGGCGTAAAAATGATTTTCCATTTCCACTTTTTCAGTCCAAGAAGGTGTGGATTTATCACATGGTGTAACCACATTTTTCCCCTGGCGTTCTAAGCTTATATTGAAACTGGAAATTCCTTTCCTGGCCATCGTATTCCAGGAAGGAAATATATTTTTATGCTAAGGAATGGGGTTTCCTGGGACTGTTCTTACACCAAGGAGGC